TGTGTGTGTGTGTGTGTGTGTGTGTGTGTGTGTGTGTGTGTGTGTGTGTGTGTGTGTGTGTGTGTCTGTCTTGAGACGGGGGTCTCTTTATAGAGCCCTGACTGTCCTGGAACCCTCTATGTAGACCAGGCTGACCTTGAACTCAGAGATCCACCTGCCTCTGTTTCCCTGATGCTTGAATTTGAGGCATTTGCCACCATGCCCAGCCAATTTCTAGTTTTTAAAAGAATTTTTTTGAGACAGCATCTTGCTTAAAAAGCTCAGGCTAGTCTTAAACTTTCAATCCTTTCACTTCTGTCTCCCAGCCATTGGAACAGGTTTGTCACAGGGGTCTCTGCTATGTAAATGATGCTGGCACCTGGTATTAAAGTAGGCACAGCACTTGGGGGCTACGGTGGAAAAAGAAGGTCCTTTAGTTTATTATAGGTTTTGTTTTGTTCTTTTCAAGATAGGGTTTCTCTGTGTAGCTCTAGCTATCCTGGAACTTGCTTTGTAGACCAGGCTGCCCTTGAATTCACAGAGATTAAAGATGTGAGTTACTATTTCTTGTCTATAGCTTTTAAACTTATTTTAAGTTTAATCTCTGGAATCCACAGAGATCTGATAGCCATAACTTGTCCTTTGACCCCATGTGAATCTGTGGCATATTGGTAAACACAGGTGTACACACACACACACTGTCAGGCTTAGCAGTTAAGAGTACTTGTTATTTTGTAGATGACTTAGACAAGGGTCGCAGCACCCACCTGATGATAGCTTACAACCTTCTGTAGCCCAATGCCAGAGGACCTAATGGCTTATTGAGGACACCATACACGATATTCATAATATAAACACACAGACATATAAAATACATCTAAAAAATTATTTAAAACAAATATAGATAGCCAGGTGGGGGTGGTGCATGCCTTTAATCCCAGCACTCTGGAGGCAGAGACAGAAAGGTCTCTGAGTTCAAGGCAGCCTGGTCCTACAGAGAACTCCAGGACAGCCAGGGCTACATAGAAAAAAACCCTGTCTTGAAAAACCTGGGGGTGGGGGGGCGGGTGGTGGCGGCGCACGCCTTTAATTCCAGCACTTGGGAGGCAGAGGCAGGCGGATTTCTGAGTTCGAGGCCAGCCTGGTCTACAGAGTGAGTTTCAGGGCAGCCAGCCAGGACTACACAGAGAAACCCTGTCTTGAAAAGCCCCCCCCCCCCAAAAAAAAGGAAAAAGAAAGAAAAAGGAAAAATCTGGGGAGAAAAAGTATACGAGTAAATCCCCAGGCACAAGTGACTCACCGAAGGTCACTGACTCAAAATCCAAGTCTCTCTGTTATATAGCCTGGCTTTGGGGTACCAGGAAAGATAGGATCTCAGTGTAGACAGTGTCTGTCCCACCAGATGGGACTTCAAGTGCAAGCTGCCTAGTGAAGGGACCACAGTAGTCATTTTGTCTTCTTCCTTAGAGCAGCCCCACAGAAACTTCCACCTCAGCCCTCTCCAGAGCATGCCTATCTCAACTCAGGCTAATTTTAATCCCTCCGTCAAACGGCTCTTTGGTCAGACCTCCCCAGAGGCCCCTTAAATAGCAAGTTCTCAGCACAGAGTTTCCTGTTTGGTGTGGGATCTTTCCCCATCTCCAAGCTTCTCTGGCCTGCTCCCTCTGGTTTCCATAGTCTATGTTCTAAACCCCCTCAAAGGCTACAGCATGGCTCTCTGCATGTCCTCGATTACCCTGACAGAAACAACGCAGTATGGATTGGGTGACGTTGGAGGCTAAGTCACGGGAAGTCTGACCTGAACACTCTACCCCAGCCAATTACATCCTTTTATCTCCCTTGTTAAGAGACAGGCAGTGAGATGAGAAAGGATCAATAACTTGTCTTTGGTTTTCGGTTTTTGTTACTGTTGTAATTTTTTTTTTTTTTTGAGACAGGGTTTCTCTGTGTAGCATTGTCTGTCCTGGAACTCTATGTAGACCAGGCTGGCCTTGAACTCAGAGATCCACCTGTGTCTGCCTCCAGAGTGCTGGGATTAAAAGCATGGACCACCAATACCCCTTCTTTTTTATTTTCCTGAGACGGTCTCAATATGTATTTAGGACTGACACTGAACTCAAATGTAGCCCAACTTGGCTTCAAGTTCATAGCAATACTCCAGTATCACCTCCCCGAGAATTGGGATTGTAGGTATGTGCCACCACAATCAGCTTTGCAAGCAACTTGGTTCACCAAGGAACAGAGCTGTTGAGACCTAGGTATTCAAGATTTTGGTATGCCTCCAGCAATCCCCTTGGGCAATTGCACTATAAGGCCCAAAGCTAAAGCTGGGTCTTCTCCCTTCTGAAGCTTTTTATTTCAGATGATAGGAAGAAAAAAAAAAAAAAACTAGCAAACTAAAGGTAGAAGGAGGTATGAGCTCAACAGGCTGGCTAGCAGCACACAGAAAAGAGGAGTGTCTGGAACCCACCAGTGGACTGCTTCCACCATCAGACTCCACCCAACCCCATGCACTCCAGGCCCTCATCTCATAGCAGCTGCTTGTGCTGTTCCCTCCCACCCTGCCCCGTTCGCATTAGCTAGACAGCATCCATCCTTTCGGCTGCGTTTCCTCAATCCTCATTCCCCTGAAGTCCTGCCATGACTTTGGCACCCTTGCCTTGTATTGCTCCCATCAGTCTGACATGCCAACTACACAAAGCCTTAGAGACAAGAACAAGCCTCAAAATTTGTCT